CCTCTCCTCCATTCTCCTCTTGGAATTTTGGTCATGCATGCACATGTGTCCGGCGTGATTTTCAAACCACCGGATTTGGGACTCCAACCATGGTCGGTCACGTAGGAGTTCAATGATGTAAAGTCTGCTGGTCCTGGGACTTTATTTCTTACCATAGCATAGCCTAGCCTAACCCGACTAACACCAGACCTAACAGTAGAGTAGGTCATAGCATAATACATTCTAAAACATTCCCGTAATGACTGACACATGGCAGTGAGGCTATTCCTGCACAGGGAGGAGACAGAGCAGAGTAGCTCTTAGGATGACAGACTTTGTGTTAAACAGATCTAGACTTAAATCTAGGAAATGCCCTTTGCTAACTAGTTTTGTGACACTAGTTACATTTCTTGGCCTTTCTGAATCTCTGTTTTGTATCTCCAAATTGTAAGGTAATTTCAAGGATGAGTTGAAGCCGCTAGTACAGCATGGTACATGGTAAACCTTCAGAAGACCATAGTGGTCATGATGTTAAGCAAGTAAAAAGTTAAAGCAGAGTGGATTCAACAGTGCACTCACTGATTCATTGAAACACACATATCTAAGGAAACAAGTCCGTGTGTTTAGGGGACAGGGAAGAGACCAAACTGAGCTCAAGCCATGGGCCCCTCCAACTTCCCAAAGCTCCCAATAACCTAAGATGAAATTAAATAGGAGGGATGAAATGATTTGTTATTCAGGTGAAAGAAAGAGTTTTTCTTCTTACGGGTTATGGGGACTGGATCCCGCATGGCCAGCAGCATGGTTTGAGTCCTGGACCTGGCAGCTTGAGCATAACGTTGGGGGCATGTGTACATGTCTGCCCAAAATCTCAAGAGGAGAATGGAGGAGACAGTATTGCAGATGGCTGTTCCCCCTGAGGGGTGACTTCTCGCTTTACCTCTCTCTTTCTCCCTCTGTCTGTGGCGAGTGTACACTTTCTATGGCAAACAAACAAAATAAAACAAAGAAAGAAAGAGAATGAGAGTATTTCTTCTTACAGCTAATAGAGATTTAGGAGACTACACAGAGCTACAATGAAAAGGTGATCACGGAAAAATGATATTTAAGACTCTAAAACCAAGTTCATTTTAGATGAAGGACTTGAATCACAACCAAAAACTTGCAAAGCATCTGAGGATCATGATTGAGTCTCTTCAATACACACACACAAAAACACAATGTCAAGAAGCAATTTAATCAACATAGAGGATTTTCAGAGGTTGGACAGACTCAGGGAGATGAAGACCCTAATGGGTGATGGAAGGGCGTCCTGACAGGATGACATCAAGACCATTAGCACTGCCAGCGTCACATCTGTGAGAGCTTTGGATGGGCTGTGGGGAAAAGCCATGGAGCTGGTTGGTGCCAGAACAATCGGGGCTGGGTGGCAGTGGCAGCGGCAAAGTGCGCCGCTCCGTGAGACTGACCCCCGTGGGGAGGTTCCGCGTTTGCGTCCAGAGCCCTCCCTCAGCATGCCAGGTGCTCATGGGCCTGCCTGTGATCTGGGGCTGGCAGAGGCTGGGGTGGATCCTGGCATCTACACCCTGCTGGATTGTGGGTGTACTCTCTCTTGGTATGTCTCTTGCTCATGAACAAAATGAATAAGTTAAAAAAAAAATGGGATCGGATGTCCAAATCGCTGAAAAGACCATCATGAGGACAGGGACACACTCCCATCTCAGCAAACCATTGTCTTGATTGGGTGCTCGAAGGAGAGACTCCGCTGAGACATTGCAGGACAGCGGGTTCATTTCCAGCTCGCGTTCTGCCAGAGCAGTTTTCCAGTGCCACCAAGGGGCTGGTGATAAAACCGGGTTCTTGACTGTGACTGTGACACCCTTGAACCTCAACAGTATGAAAGGTACCATTGCATTAAGCTGTGGGGCCGAAACAATCTTTCTAGGGAGAAACCCCCTCTCTCGGGAGCCACTCTGTGACAACAAAGCTCTAGTATCAGATATGCCCTCGCCTCTCTGTACTAAGTGCTCTGTGAAACGGTAGGGTTGCTCCCCGTGTCTCTGAGCCCTGAAGAATAAGAAGAGAAATCATCCGTCTAGTTGGACCTTTCAGGATTGTAGTGTCTTTGGAAAGCAGGAAACAGTGTGATGCAGAAGACGTCTCTTGAAGGCGGGGGTTTGGCTCTTGGCACATTGGCCCCCTTCCCCCCTGAGCACACTGTGATGGGGAACAGACCATTTGCTATGCTTTTGCAGCACTGGAGCATTTTTAATCCGCCGAAGTACTGCATCAAGAGAATCCTTTGCCTCTTAGAAAAGCACAGGTGTAGGCCCCTCACAAGTCATCCGGCAGAAAGGCCACAAAGAGCTGCTGGTTCCAGGGGGTGAGATTTTAAACATACTAATTTTACTTTTTGTTTTTCAGGCTAGTGTGCTCAGACTCTTATGAAAAGTGCTCTATGAAACGGTAGGGTTGCTCCCCGTGTCTCTGAGCCCTGAGAAACCACCATCAGAAGCAACGTGAGCCTCACACACCTGGCTCAGGGGGCAGCAGACAACTCGGCTATGTGGAGGTGTCCTATTCTTTATTTAGAGATAGATTTTTTGCTGTAGGGCATGTGTGCTCACTGGAGAGACAGAGAGAGAGAAAGTGAGAACTCACCCCCAAGGGAGATGGCCACATTGCAATCCCTTCTCCATTTTCCTCAGGACTGTGGGTATGTGCACACATGTGCTCGGTGTCAGTTTCAGGCCACCAGGTCTGGGACTTGAACTGCAGTCGGCCATGTGGGAGTCCGGCACTTCTTATATCTGGTGTGAACGCAGGCCACTGGCTCTCGTTTAAGTGACTCAGCCTGTCTAGGGGCTGGCCGGAAGTTCTGCGTCTCTAACAGGCTTCCAGGTGCTACTGTCCTCACTCCTAGGACACACTGAGGAGCAGGGCTACAGAGTGGTGGAAGTGGGGTGGGGGTAGACGAGGCGAGCTATATCCTGGACTGAGGACTCAACCTCTCTGAACTTTGGACTCCTCAGTGACAAAGTGGAATAATTATAAAACTTACCTCAAGAGCTGTTGTGAAAACAGCTGATGCCCTCTATCACAATGCCATTGCCACAGAAGAGTCCCATAATCCAGTTCTCCTAAAATGACAGGGTTGGTTCATGTGACCTTCATTGCTAAGTTACACCAACAAAAGGACCTCAAAATGTTTGTGGAAATAGGGAATTTAAGTAAATACAAGTGTATTTTGGTGCCAAAAATTGTGAAAGCCATGCATCATTTTTCAAATATTTCATCTTTTATGAACTTTTTGAAGATACCTTGTATGGGCTAGTCTGAGGTCAGCACGGTGTCTGTGTCACCGTGTAGCTTTGTCTTTCGAACGTGTGAAAAAACTAAGTCAGTCGGCATTTCCATGTCACATGTTTCTGGATGCTAAGTTCCACTCAATTTGACAATCTCTTAATTCAGGTTTCTCCACCTTCAAGTTGAAATTCTGCTTAAGCTCCTTAGTGGCTATAATTTAGGAAACAGAGCTAATTTTTGGCAGGCTGCTTTTTCATGTAAGGCGAACAGTCATAATTATCATTGGGTAGAGAAACAATGTGGGATGTGTCTATGAGATTTGCACAAAGATCCAGGCAATTCAAGCCCAAATGGCAACACTTGTCAGGGAAGACAGGAGACAGAACAATAAATAATTTTCATGTTTTAACTTAAATGTGTCAATCCTCACGACATGTTTAGTTTTTGAATCTGGGAAGTATCCTACAGCAACTTAGCTTGTTAAACCTCGTAAGAAAAGCCTAGCTTAGCAAATAACGAGTGGTAAGAGGCGAAAAGCATCTATGCTTAAGTTTTCTCAAACAATAAAACAGATATGATCAGTCCATTGCCCTAAGCAGGTTTCAGAAATTATCTCTGGATTAATTCTAATCGCTTCCTTGCAAGTCATCATGGTTTCTAGAAGAGTCCATGAATATAGGTAGAATTTAAACTCAACGAGGTGATTCCCTGACTTTGTCTTTCTTCAACTCTTTTCTCTTAGCAGAGAGACCCTGAAAATCCACTCAACAGGGATACTTTTCTATTCTCTGTTAAATCTTGGGACACACAAAAGGCATACCCAGCGGGGAGAAGCAGGAGGGGCTATTGATCCCAAGAGGAGCTGTATAAGTGGCCCATTCCTCCTGGATGACCCAAGCTCTGCATTTCTCCATGGTCCAAAGAAGAGAAAGAATTCTTGGTCTGTGCTCACCAGAGACATGGACAGAGCGTGAGAGGGAGAAATCACCTCTACTGGGACATAGTCATTTCTCAATTCCTTCTCTTCCATTTCTTCGTCCTGTCAGGATTTTGGACATGCATGGATATGCATCCAGTGTGTCTTTTTAGTCACCAGAGCAGAATTCCAACAGCAGTTAGCCAAGTAGGATCTGGCTCTCCAAACCATTGGGCCTCAGGGCCGGTCCTAGGCTGTTTTATTATAACAAGCTTTCTCAAGGGTCCTACTCAACATGCTTGGGCTCAACATACCTGCTATCTTTGTTGGCATTGCTATTTTTTCAATTACTTTAGTTCCAGATGGTATAGAAATTTCCCCAGGAATTACTAGATGACTGGTTGTAATGCCATGCTCAACTTTTCCCTTCACCTAAATTTTGCATAGGTGCATGCTTAAACATGCAAATTTATTACATGTTTTCCATGAGAACAAAGTTTAACAACAATTATTTGTGGCTATCCTAAAAGAACACCTTACCAAGTGGAATAGAGAACATTTGACACTCAAATTTGGATTGAAAAATTTCCACTTATAGGACCAAATTCTATATTCTTTATCTCAAGAGTGTATCATTTGGGCTAATATTCTACTTTCCAAAAATGTCTTCTGAATCTTCTCTTTTTATGAGGATATATTTAAGAGAGCTTTAAAAACATCGTGAAAGTTATTGCATGGAATAACGCCCACTTCTTGAACAAGAACATAGCTAATGTAATAAAAACCATAAGGTTTGGGATATTTTATGAAAATGTTTAATTCAACTGTTTCTTTGGAATGTAGTAGTCATAGTTTGGAATTTACGTTACAGTTCAGTTCTATGTGGTTTTTATGCTACTCAGTGTCTGAGAATACAAATGTCATTTAAAGTTAAGGCTTCGCTGTTCATTTTGAAACAACAATTTACAAGTGTCATAGAAAATAAAAATTTCTGTAAAAAAAATTTGCACAAAATTTTATGATGGTACAAAACATGAAGCAATCATATACCAGTAAAATGAAACCATTTTACTACAGAAAGTTTTATAGATTTCAATAAAGAAAAAATATGTTATTTTACACCTTTAAAAATTACGAAACAATCTAAAACAATATAAACTGAACATTTTGTAACACTGCCTTTACAAATTAATAACTTTATAAACATATAATTTTTAAATATATTTATCAGTGCAAGATACTTTAAAATTTAAAGTTGCAGTATCATTTTTCCTTGGCTGAGAACAACTTTAAGTCTGTTGCCTTCAAAAAAATCGTCTTACTTAGTACTTTTCTCCTGGTATGATTATAACAACTGAATGAATGCCTCTGGGGACAAAAAAACTATTCTTCTTTCTTGGTGATCAATACTTTCCTGGAAACAAAAGGCATTCTCAATCCAATTAAAACCAAGATGGATGAACTGTCTTGCCTATGATGCAAATATGCCCCCTAACAAATGAATCTGAGTAAGACTGACGGCAACATGGGGAAGGAGGAAGATTGAAAGCTTCTTACATGCATATGGCGTGAAAAAGTACACCGAGAACAATCAAAGCTTCTTTGGGTTAATTCACAAGCTGCCTGCAATGTTCTCCTCTGTGCTGCTACAGGATTCGGACTTGCCAGCTCCCAGGCAGGCTTTTTCTGTGTGAGTGGTTGGAAGTTTCTAGAAGCATTCATTCAATTCTATTTTTTTCAGAGCTGCTGCTGAATAAAATTTTTTAAACATTTGTTTTGACTTTACTAGTCCCCTCCCCCATCTTATCTTAAAATATGTCACCCGTAGGCACCGGGATTTATAGTTTTTTCTTAAAATAAATTGTTTTTCCTTCTACTTCCCTTGTGTGACTCAATTCAAAACAAGGAGTTCTCATGGGTCATTGTCACATATATGGATGTAAAAATCTCATGTTCTTACTAGATATTTGGGAGATTTGATTCAGCCCTTCTCGTGGGTCTCACTTGAAAGCCAATTAGCATTATTTTCTTCCTTAACTTACTGCTATTTCGATTAAATGCAAACATTTCTATCAAAGATCATTTTGATCAGAAGAGACAGACAAATGGCTTCAGGAAAAAAGATACTGTCACTTTAACCAGTTAACAAGAAAACCAAAGTTAGACTTTGGAGGGCAAAGTTAGGGACTTCCCTTATTTATTTATTTTTAAACATAAAGTCTAGCAAAATTGTTTGCCATTCCCAGCAGGTTAAAGCTGTAAGTGTCTTTTCTGGACAATGGCAAATGCTTCAGTTCTAAGAGAGAAAAAAAGACAGAGAGAGGAAAAAGAGAGAGAAAGAGTTTACGTTTGAAAATACATTCCATATGAAAGAACAAGAAGAGAGAATATTGCAGCTTTATACAAAAGGGTCAAGAGACATGGAATTGAACTACAGAAAAAGCAGAACAATTAAGCCACATTGCCAAATCTTCAGAGCCCTTGCCTTCCCGGGGGCTGACATCTCACACTAAAATATACTTTCTTCTTGGTCAGTGGGCCACCAGGGTTTGATTAAAGAGGAGGGCTTTCACCAGAGGAAAACGGAGTGGGCCGTTAATGGAACACAATGAACCAGTACAAACAAAAAGGCACTTGAGAGGACATAGACGAGCCAGTGCCAAGGGTCTTTGTTGTGGTTGTCAGCAGTGCACCCAGTTGCCAGCAGTGTTGGGTGATGGCACGGTTTTCGGCATGGAGTTCACAAGCACGAGGTTTATTTAGTACAACACTGGAAAACATCAAGAAAGGTTGACGGTATTGCTTCGTAAACAGAGCTGACACACTAGACTGGTACTGAGGCTACAGTACTTCCAAAATAAACATCCCAGCCCTTCGCCGCCTACGCAGGACTCGGGCGGTTACACACAAGCACAACTCCAGGAGTCCACTGAGTGCGGTGATCTAACGTGTTCTGGGCACCGGGCTACAGGTAGCATGTCCATCCAAAGGGCCCCACTGAGTAGACTGGGCGCCAGCATCTTGGATTTTGCACAGTTTCCAAAAAGAATCCGGAAGAGGAAGAGGAGAGAGAGTGGGGAAGGGGAGTCCAAATGAACTATGAAGTCAATCATCCTTGGTCTCAACACCAGCATCTGATTACTCAAATGAAACCAACAGAAAAGGCTGACTGTACATGATTCCGGTCGTTGACACAGCTCCCGTGTTCACGCCTGTCGGCGGTACTCATCGAAGCTCCTGAGAAAAGCCTGGCTGAGCGTTGTCCACACACCTCCCAGCCCTACAGTGAAAGATCAACAGTTCCCAGCACGCGCGCGCCGTGTCCTTCCACGTCAATCCTCCGGCTCGTGCTTTCATCTCCCTCCGCCTTCATGCCTCTGAGTAAGTACTCTGTGTATTCAGTTTGTCTTTTTTCAACTTCACGCCATCCACGAGCTCAAAGTTGTAGTTCTCCAGGGCAGACAAGTTTCTCTCTGACATACCGTTGTGCCAGCAGGCGCAGTACAGTACCACCCCGCAGATGGCGCCCAAGAGGACTCCCAGGGCACTCATGGCTATGATGGTGATGAGGATGGGGTCCAGGGTCTTCAACACGTTGCCTGGCTTCTTGGAGATGTTCTTATCTTTTTCTCCCTCACCATCATATCTTGGGGTGCTTCCTGTGGAGGAAAAAAAAAATCGGCTCCATGAGCACCAGACTGGATGAAAACAGACAAAAAAAGTGGGGAAAGGAAGGAGCTGGGAGAGATCCCCGGCTCCAATTTTGCCCGTCATGTGTGACTCATCGTTGGGAACGGAGTGTGGGAGGCAGGGTGCTGAGGGCTGTGCTGCGATTCTGATGGAAGGCTCAGCACACGGAAACACCGACTCTGGGTAAACAGGAGGCTTGGGTTCTTATCTAATTCAGACTCGTGCAGCCCCCATCTGCTGGACTGTAATCTGCGTGCCCAGCCCTTGGCCAGATTTGTAGCCACTAAGCTTTGCAAAACGCTTAGTCACACATTTGCCTCGGGGGGATTAACTGTTTCCCATGCATATGTGTGCTGATCCCAAAACCAGGCCCAGGCTGCCCTTTCACGTGGCCACTTCACTGCCCGACAGAGTTTACACACATGTTTGTTCTCCCACATGGAAAGTCTCCAAGCCAAACAAGTTTCTCCCCAGTCCACAGCGGTTCCGCTGAAGAAGGAGAGGCCTTTCTGGCTACTGACGTGGAAGCAGGGCTGTGGCTCAAATCCAGACTGGGTCTGTGTCTGCCGACTGTAAGTTGTTCTCTCCTCTGTGTCTTTGCAGCCCTGGCGGTTCCATAGGAGACGGTCACTGCCCTTCAGCTCAGCCCGGGGGACATGTTTTCTTTAGAGCGGAGCATGAGAAGTTATTAACAGGGGAGCTTCGAGCCTAATTACCTCGTACCAGAAACAGGACCACAATGTTAATGTGCAACACGCATGGTGTTTACTTACTGGGTGTTCTGATCAACAAGGATTCCAATCAAAGAAAACTAAAAATATGAGACACAAGTCCCTGAACAGAGGAGAACAAGCCTTGGGGCATATTAATATTCTCTCCCTTGATAGAACATTGTTTTGAAACAACCTCTAATAAAGTGTACATCTCTGTGTAGACTCTGTAACGTGTCGGTCTCGCTAACAGCAGATGGCATGTTTCTTGGTCTCTCCCCAGTCCCCGTCTAGCTGCACAGTAGGACCACGTCTCTATTGCCCCCAGATGCTGGGGTACACAGAGGCTTCAGGAGGCATGGTCTGCAGCAGCTGCGAGAAATGTTGGGGTGACTGTCTAGCCACCTGCCATGTGGGCCAGGAGGTGTGAAACTTCTGGGAATAAGTAGCACTAGGCCAGGCCTAACACAATCCAGTATCTCGCATGTCACCGCAAAGCAGTGCTCAGCGAAATCACACATTCCAGAATTCATCAGGCTGACATCAAAGCGACCTTCTAATTAGCGGTGATACAGCTGCAGTCACAGCTGTACAGTATAACTCAGAGAGCTGCCGAGAGGCTGAAATAAGATAATGTATGTAAAGTGCTTAGAACATAGTAGCTGCTCAATAAATCCACCTCATAGCCACATAAGGAGATGTGTCTAGTAGGGGAGGATGGGAAAAGATGGATCAAATGCAACAGAGTATCACAGAAACTGGGTTTGCTTCTTTTTTTTTAAGGTTTTAGGTTTTTTTTTTTTTTTCTATAGAGTGCATGCGCTCGTCAAAGAGAGACAGAGAGAAGTAGAGAAGGAGAGTGAGAAATTACCCCCTAGGAGGGATGGCCTCAATGTCCTCCCTGCTCCATTCTCCTCTTGGGATTTTGGGCACCCATGCACACGTGGCCATTATGATCAAGCTGCTGGGTCCAGACTCAAACCAGTCAGCCATGTGGGTTCAACACCAGCCTCTGTGCCATCTGCTGGCCTTTTTTTTTTTTTTTTCTCTCTTTTTTTTTTTTTAATTGCGAGAGAGAGAGAGAGAGAGAGAGAGAGAGAGAGAGAAAGAGAGAGGAGAGAGAAAGAAAGAAAGCAACTCCTCAATGGGACATGGTCATGCCACAATCCCTTCTCCATTTCTCCATCCTGTCAGAACTTTGGGCACGCATGCACACGTGTGGTGTATTTTTCAAGCTGCCCGAGCCAGAATTCAAGCAGTAGTCCTCCAAGTGGGATCTGGTTCCCTTAACCACTAGGCTACGGATCAGCTCAGGCTCTTGTTTCTCAAATCCTGTCTGGATATCAACCAGACGCAAGAATTTGGGTTGGCTTCCAATTACAGGACAGAAATAACCATCACTACTTTTCTGGTTTTGTAGGTATAAAATGGCACTGCTTCACTTGATTATCCTGCACATCCCTCTTCCAGTTCAGGAAGGGAAGGGCCAGGGCTGGTATGCTTCCTCGGCATCACCTGGTTATACATGGCCCACTGTGGAGCCCCCAAATCTTCAGGGGAGCTTAGGAGCAAGCCCTCTGAGATGTGATCCAAACCACAGAACCATCAAGGGTCCGGGCAGAAAGGGCTCCTCCTCTGCACCGTGGTGAAACCCCGTGTACTAGAGTTTCAGAAAGTCTGTTCATACACATCAGGAAAGTCAGAGCAAATTTTTGTTAAAAATTGGTCAGCAAGACAAATTTACCTGTTTCATCAACTTTAATTTCTGGGTTCTTTTTATCCAGGTCTGCCGGCTCTGACAAGTCAAGCAAAATTGAAAGAGATATTTGAAGTGCCGACAAAGTACAAACACACAAACGTACAAAACTGAAAGAGATATTTGAGCTGCCGACAAAGCACAAACACAAACCGTGCAAACCCTCACGTACGCGCTCACACCTCTGCCGGGCTCCCTTCAGAGTTTCTAGTAGAATCGGAACCCATCAAGCAACTGTTGAGCAATAGGCAGGCATTGGTGAGGGACTGCGGAGTGACTGGTCACTCCCTTGAAGGTGTTGCATTTAAGTCCAGCTAGCACCGATGCTGCCAGTGTGTTGTTTCAGAAGGGAAGGGTGGGAAGACGTGGCTTTGCTGTCTGAGACACGGGAAAATTCACCAGGGAACAGGAGTGGGGTGTGCATAGGGCAGCCACCCTGCAGTCTATAGGTGACTGCCTCCTTAGGGTGCTGTGTCTTCCTTTGGCTGCTCAAATAGTTGGCCAGCTCTTTGAGGCTAGGGGCTAAGTCCTGTGTACTACCAAAAATAAATAAAATAAATAAGATAAACTGAAATTCTGTGGTGAAGTAGAGCCCTGATATCCTTTAGGGTCCTGAGTACAGGGCAGGAAGAATATGTTTTCCCCCATAGAGTGCATGTGATCACCAGAGAGAGACAGAGATAAGCAGAGAGAGAAAAAGAGAGAGAGAAAGTGAGAAATCATCCCCCAGCGGGGAGGGCCATGTTGTAATTCCTTCTCCTCTATTCTCCTCTTGGGATTTTTGGGCATGCATGCATGCACGTTCAGCATGAGTTTCAAGCCACCAAGTCCAGGACTCGAACTGCATTATGTGGGAGTCCAGCGCCTTAACCATCACGCCACCTGCTGCCCCCACAGGAAGGGTTTTAATACTTTGTTCCCTACTATAGCCCAGCATTTAGGACAGTCTAGCACATAATAGGTGCTTTAGTAAGTGCTGGTTGTATGAATTAATGACTGCTAAGTAAGGATCTCATAGCATCTACAGTTACATGTTTGAGGAGACACAATCGAATAATTATTCAATTCTCACGGACATCTTGTTACTGGTGCAGCAACCTAAATCAAGTGTTTTACTGGATCTAGCTGCAGTTGGCAGCAACTACAGTTAACTAGACAAGTCACACAAAAAGGACATGCTCATAGAACTGTCTTAGCTACCTATGTTCACCACAGCATCTGTCATGCCACTTGGCATATACTAGGTGGTCAGTTAAAACATAACGAATTGAACCCAGTTTTATTTCCTGTTTAACTTGGTAGTTTTCTCTCCCATTCCCCAAACATCTCCCTCATCACATCACTCTTACCCTGAAATGTAATAGCGGGAATGTGACATAACTGGTTTCAGTATACGAAATACACATTTTAACGACATGTAGACTTGCACATGGGTCGTTTATAAAGAAGTCATGACTGAAATTTTAAGCCTCCTCATTTTTGCAAAAATTTGCTCAGTGTGGCATTGAGCAGATTTCCTTACCCGGCATGAAGAAGCCAACCTTTATTCCTTACCGCTTTTGCTGCAATTCTTTTTTTCTTCAGTTAACCCTATCGAATTATTGTCACTTCAGGGATTACATGTCTTCAATATTTTGTATAATAAAAGCTTTGTGTGTTGTTGAAATGACCCAAAACCCATGACAGCCAATAGGCCATCTTTGTCTTAAATTTGCCCAATAGGCTTATTCCATTTTGTTATAATTAACATCCTATTATATAGTGATATATACCAAAAGTTTAAGTGCAGCAAATGGAGCTTAAGACTAATTACTGTGCTATTACTTCGCCATTAGTGATGCTATTTGTAATTATATATCAAGAACTAGGGAATATGAATCGGTTTTCTATGTTTTTTTATCCATCTAGTCCCAGACCAATAAAGATCAACTCTGAAACAGGAGGCAAAGTCTCTGAGTTTCAGTTATTGCTTTGAGTTATTTCAGTGATTTGTAAAGCCAGGAACGTTTACTTATTGGCAGAAAGGCCAAGAATTATGGCTTCTATGATTCACTTGTGATTTGTAACAAGGTAAGCTTAATTAAATTCATTGTGATCAGATGATGGAAATTGTTGAAGGCCTGCTGCTTTGTTTATATGCCCAAATATCTTGAATTACCCAGATGTACGAGCTTTCACTTCCCACCAGGATGTTTTGGTGGCGCAGGCCTCTCGTAAGCTGTGTCTCCTTTGCTTTCGCGTCTGGATTCCACGTATTCTCTGTGCACTTGGTGGGTGCCACAGGCATTCTAATGAGCCGGGTTAGGGAGGGGTAGTTAAGGGTAAATTAATCTGCCTTTATGCCCCTCTGTGCAAGAACATGTATTTCTGGAGAGACCAGGAGGTGGCATGGTGGTTAAGGCTCTGGACATTCCCACATGGCTGACTATGGTTCGAGTCTCGGACCTGGTAGCTTCCTTTTTCACTTTCTCTCTCTCTCTCTCTCTGGTCAAATTAAAATAAATGAATGAATAAATAAAATTAAATAAGTAATTCTTAAAAAAAATAAAAAAACATGTACTTCCTACGACATACTGGAGCTCACATGGACCTTCTAGGTCTGCACACGCAGCACAAGCCCGTCGCACAGAACCCAGCTCGCCGGGGCTCGCGGGCAATGACCCCTACAGCCCCTCGCACTTACTTGTACAGTCCTCCTGTGAAATGTGGTTGTTAATACTAATGTCATCCACGGCGATCCCTCCGAGGTTCCCTTTTCCAATTTCACCCTCAAAAATCACCTAAAAAAAAAAAAAGAGATAATTTCCATGGGATTTACATGTTGTCCCGAATCGCAGTGTTTCCCAATGCCTGCTCGGCTCGAGCTGCGGCCCTGAAATGAAATCCATCAGGTTTGGCCTGAGCTGGACACAAGCCGCTCGTCAGGGCACGGGAGCCACCTGTGATGACATGAAACTCCTCACACGCTCTCCTCATGACGCCAACTTTAAAATGGGAAAATGTGGGAAATAAGTGGAGCGACACATAGTAACGGCCCAGAAAGAGATGACAAAGAAGCATTTTTGCCTTCTTAGCACACGGGTTCCATTTTCATCATCTGAGAGCCTGGGACAAGCGATGGAGAGGCTCGCTGTTGCAGCCACGGTTCAAGGCGGGAAGTCCTCGCCATGGCTGTTGGAATGAGCCCCAGGTCTCACTGCATGCCTTCCAAGTACCACCCTCGCGCCTGCCCGGCCTAGGGAAGGGCCAGACCTGGTAGAGCTTCAGTGACTTGTGGAGCAACACGCGGCCTTCTTTCCAGTGGTCTCCTTGGTGTCCGATGGCCATCCAGACCAGCTGGTCGTACTCCTCCGGCTTCTGGTAGCGCAGTTTGACCCTCAGCGTGCCGACGTGGGAGCCGGACATGTGATACCAGAAGGTCATGCAGTGGGCAGAGTTCTGCGAGTAGACCACAGGACTCACCAGGCGGGCCACCTTGCCCTTCTGGTTCTCGTCAGCTTGGGAGTAGATGAAATTGCCATCTCCTGCTGCGACAAAAAACTGCGTTAGGGAGAGTGGCCCAGCGTAGGGCTCTTTTCTCTCAAGCCCTGTGAATGGAGACATCTCTGCTGGGCTGGGCACCCAGATCCCACGTGCCCAGTGGCAGGGAGCAGCACCGAGGCCCTGCCCTGGCTTCTGTGAACGGACGTGATAGCAGAAGGCTGTGAAGCAGCACACGTTTGGGAAAGCGCTGTAGTGCTGACGTGGGCGGTCACGCCACGAGGTCCTTGTACCACTGCCAGCAGATCGAAAGCACGGTTGACACAGACTGGACAGACAGACTCTGACCACGCAAATCTATTTTTATGCAACTCTAAGACTGCGCTGGCAGCACCCATGTCAACACAGACATTAAAAGGAATAATTGTGATGTGTTTGTACTTAATATGCGAGCAGCCAGACTTCTTGATGATATTTTGGTCACTTGTCAGCTCGATGAAAGGAAAGCTGCAACTTTTCCAAATAATTTAGGAATCTTTTTTTTTGTTTTTGTTTTTCAAATTTAGATGATTTCCCCCCTTAGCTTACTTCAACGGTTTCCAAATCCCGTAAACACATCCGTGTGCTGGATGTGGGCTTCTGGCTTAAGGAGAGCAAGGTTGCATTCGAGGCGTGTTAGAACGTGCCATTTCGGCAATGCACACACTTGCTGAGCTGCGAGGACTTACTCCTGGCTTTGCTTTTAATTACCCCCAGTGGGAACATTGGCTCTGCCGCCACCTGGTCTAAACACACAACTCAGGTTTCACTGTTTGCTCTGCAAATAGAAATCAGCTCCTCGAACGAACACCTCACCTGATGTAAGTGGGAACCCACTGCTGGGCCTCCGTGGGCAGCGGGAAGTTCGTTTGCTGCCCCAGAGGCCTGGGTCTTGTAAGGCACCTTCTCACTGTGTAGATGTGGGTCTGTCTTGTGTCTGCTCGCCGGGGTGTGTTAGCGGGCAGCTTCCTGCCCTGACCCGCTCACACGAGACCCCGGTCTGACGCTCATCAAGACCAGGACGTGGAATCATGAAAGAACGGAACCGAGTCCCAACGCCTGCAGTGTGTCTGACGCTGCTGGATGCCTGTCTGGCTCCCGGCCCTTGTGGAGCGACTCAGCTAAGACAGCCACTCTTTCAGTTTGTCATGTCCACTAATGCCCAAGACGTGGCCTCCCGTCTGTGTGCAGTGCCAAGTGACTGACATGAGACACGGTTAACAGTCCGCCAAGATGGCTAGGGAAGAAGACACACTTCCTGCCCTTACCCTCCCTTTCAAAGGAGATCTGGCGAAGGGTGTGTGCTCACGAGAGAGAGACACAGAGAGCAAGAAAGTGCCCGTCGAGGGGGCGTGCTCATGCTGCAATCTCCTCTCCCCATTTTCTATCCTGTTGGGGTTTGGGCATGCTCACACGTGCACCTGGCATGCTTTTCAAGCTGCTGGGGCTGAGATTCTAACCATGTCGTCGGCCATGTGGGATCTGTCTCCCTTAACCACTAGGCTACAGGGCGAGCCCATGTCCCCCTAATCTTATGGGAAAAGAGTGAAGCTGCAATGTTCCAGAGGGAAAACACATTTACTGAGCCCATGGGGTTTATGAAGGTGAGTCGGAGAACAGGTGGTGGGAAGGAGACAGTGGACATAGGTAGAGGGAGGATGGCTGCCTGCGAGGTCTCACGGCCTCTGCCCTGCCGCTGCCCGGGCCTTCTAAAGCTTCTCCCGTCATCTGCTGCCTAACCTTCTTCAGCGCCTCCTGCCTTCGGCCCATCCACACTTCTCCACGGCACACTCACTGCCGCGTATCTGACTGCCCCACATAAGGATTCACTCCTGCGGGCCATGAAACAGCCAGCTTAGACTGGCTCTGAGACAGGACTGCTTTCTCGGGCCTGCCTGGGCTATCTTCCACTGCCATCGCTGTTCCCTGCCATGGAACATCCTCACCCAGCTGCACCTGCGACTGACTGTGAGTTGCTCAAAGGTGTAGACACCCTTCCTTACTCCCGTATTCCTGTGCCCGTGGGCATCTGCCGTGAAGTGGGCTACTCGGGGACGTTTGTTCAATGCGAGGGAAAGACGCTCGCCCGCAGTCGCGGTCCGTGACGAGGCCCGTCATTTCACTCTTAGTGATCAAATCAGAAAAACCAAGAGAGTCCTTCAAACACATTCAAAATCGGGCAGCAGGGGGGCCAGCAGGTGGCATGGTGGTTAAGGTGCTGGATCCCACCGGGCTAACCACAGTTCGAGTCCTGGACCTGGCAGCTTGCTTTCTCACTTCCCCCCCCTGTGTCTCTCTGGTCAAATGAAAAAATAAACAATAGTAGGTAAAATTAAATAAATAATTTTTTTTAACTTGAAAGAATGCATGCAGAAGGATATTTTACCTAGAGAGTGGTAACTCGAAACAACAGACAACTCTGCAAATCTGCAGAGATTCACCGGATGACATAAACCAGGGCCATCTATTACACGGTGTCGGTGCTGCGCGTGGACTGTGTGCGAGGAGCTCTCTTCATCTCCATTTCTCTCCCCGCTAACAAGGGCCTGCCTTTCAGATGTCATTGTCGCCCATCTCTCGCAGCAACTGGCTGTGTTGCCAGTGCGAGCGAGGCTCTTTCTAGACAGGGCAGACCGTGACAGCTGAGGCAGTCTGGGTGGCTGGGAGAACAAAGGACCCGGTCCCTCTGAAGGACTCGCACTCGCCCGTGCTAATCTAGCCCAGCCCTCCTTTTCGGATCCTTCGACACATAAAGCACTGATATTTTTCCTTTCAAGGGTTTTATCACAGTTCTGGGTCAGGAACTCTGTCTTCATTTTCTCAATTAGCACTTTACTTCTGCAAGCCTTTCAGCTTTTGTCTCTGGCGCACATCGCTTTTAACCTCCGTTGAATGTCAGATCCTACTGAGCCATTTTGCTTCACTTTGCATCAATTTTTCCACCATTACTGCCTTCATTTCAGCTAATTGCATTTAGTTAATTTGATGCCATTTATATGTACAGTGCCATTTACAGTCAAAGTATTTTAAGTTTTCTAAAACTGCTTGTCTTAAGATTCAATTGAAAGTGTCTCCGAATTGAAGGAGTCCAATTTTAACCAATTTCCTTGTCATTCTCATTAGGCAAGGAGGTAGCCGTGGTGGAAGGAGGCCAATTCAACCTACTCGATGGTTATATTCACTGGGAAGAAAGGGGACGACAGAATGAGGAAGCCATGCAGTGCCCTCTGCCTGGCACGGGCCCACTGCCCCCTCATCCAAAGTACTAATACGAGGACGGCATCAGCCTATGGCCCTCTGGGGTACCCTTTGGGAAGCCACTACCTGAGTAAGCAGTCCTGTGCAAGTATTCCTGAGTAGACAGAAGTTAGTGAGTTGAGTGTTTGTTGTGAGCGTGTGTATATTTGTGTGAGCGTGTGTATATTTGTGTGAGTTTGTGTTTTGGGCAAGACACTTTTGATTCTTTCTCTTTCTCTTTTTTTAAAAGAGAATTTTTTTTTCCCTAGGGCACGTGAGCTTGCTGGAGAGAGAGACAGACAGGCAGACAGAGAGAGGAAAAGTGAGAAAGCATATGCCCCAGGAAGATGGCCATGCTGCAATCCCTTCTCCTCTATTCTCCTTCTGAGATCTTGGGCACGCCCACATGCCTGGTGTGAGTTTCAAGCCACCGGGTCTGGGACTTGAACCATAGTTGGCCATGGGGAAGTCCAACACCATAACTTCTACACCATCTGCTGGTCCCAACATTGCTGATTCTTTATCTGTATTCAGGCTAGGTGACAAAGTGACTAGGAGGGAAACAGGATGGGAGTGGAGAGACACATTTACAGAGCAGCTGCCAGCTCCTCTGTCCCCTAACCCACTCCTTCCCCAGTAATTAATCTTAGGAAGAAAATAAGGCAGGAGGTGGGATGGGCTGTGTGTGAGGGTGTGATGACATTCCTACCAGCTCAGAGGAAATGGGCTAGATTCCATAGCCTTCCCAAAAGAGTAATAATCCCACCCCACCTTGTTCCCCCTCTGTTTCAAGGGTTGGGAGAGATTAAGCATTAGGCTGACCGATTGTTTCTCTAGTTGTAAAATATACCTGGACTTGCTTATAAGTAACACAGAGCCAAGAATGACACAGAGATAGTAAGGTTCCTATGATGTGACCATTGTTGAGGCAGGATGATGTACAGATAGTCATCCTTTGGTGTCTGTGGGCACTGGTTCTAGGACCCCTGAAGATAGCCACATCCATGGATACGGTCAGCCTTCAGTACCCAAGGGTTCTGCCTCTGCGATGTGAAGAAGGGCTGACTATATAGGGTTCATTGCAGTACTTCTTTTCTACTTTAGAATATGGTCCATGATAAAAAGTTTATAAGAAAGCGTACAAATGAACACTCATTCACATGTCTTTGCCTAGTTTGCTGTTGTTTTTCAAGGAGGCCATTCGACGGCCAAATTCAATCAGCATTTCTACTACTTCTCCGAAGGTGGATTCAACAGAAAGAAAGAGACCTTGTTCATTCCACAACAATAAAAGCATGAGCTAATGCTTATAGTGTCTTCTCCCCAAGCCCACCATATTCCCAGGCACAGAAACCTTCTCCACTAGCAGAGTCACAGATCGAAAGAGAACTTGGGGGCCAGTGAGTGGTTAGAGTGTTGGATTCACACACAGCTGACTACAGTTCGAGACCCCGACTTCATGGCCGGAGAATCACAACAAATAAATAGATAGGAGAAAGAAAAAGAAAAAGAAATGTGCAAAGCCACGACCGGCAGTGAACTCCCCTTTACCTGTGTGATCCTGAATGGGTCCTGTCTTGCTGGTCAACACACTCCACTTGAGTTGCACGTGGTTGTCATGTTCCCAGTGACAGAATGTCTTGTGAGAGCCCCAGCCAAACTCGCAGTTAAAACCATATGTTGGAAACTCTACAGTGAGTAGAAGGAAGAAATAGAGACAAGCAGAGAAAAATAAATGTAATCATCTGGGGTCAGAAAGGTCATTAATTCATTCATGGAAAGCACAATTTATATAACTTCATGTCTTTTCGAACATTCTGGGAAAGCCACGAAATCTAGGATTACCAGGAAACCAAAAGATGCATGGAGATGTCAAAATGTTTGCAAAATCATATTGAGTAATTTTTTTTTTTTTTATCCAGCTTTAAAAAGATTATGGACTGCCTGTCAAATTGGGTTTACATAAAATTTCCAGGAAGGCTGTTTTCCAGAGCACATATGTTACATCTGCAGCCTTCTTCTTACTTCCACAATATTTAATATGAAAGAGAATCTGTTCTTGAGGATGAATCATATAAACTGATATGTACCAATGGAAAGAATCTTAATTAGAGATTGACCTGCGGGCCCCCGAAGTCTAGAAATGTGACTTGGCCGAGTGCCTCATCCTGGAGACTCGGTTCTCATGGTCCCAGGTTACCTTCAGGTCTTAGTGTCAGGGTCTGAAGCATTTTCTTAAGATTATTATTTTTTTCTTCTAGGCTTTCAATCAGGTCAATTAAGTATAAGTTTCTGCTTTTTAAAGTGATTTTCTCAATTTGCATATAAATTGTTCGCCCCACTTAAAACCTCAATGCAAGGTCATTTAAAGTCAAAGCGCATTTAAATAGCTACCTATTTTTATTTATTTATTTTTTTTACCGTTCGATATGTTTTCTTTGGAATCTGAAAAGACGGCATGAATGGGTTTGCAGGAATGACTTGTCTCCTGTCCTACAAGATGCTGTGTTTTTAAAACCCTTAGCCTTATTTTTCAGCAACCTCTTTTTTAAAAGCAGCTTGACTTTTTGGGGTAGGGGAAAAATGAAATTACTGGTACCTCGAATTTGTTTTGGCAGACATAAACTAACAAAAATAACTCTAAGGGTGAAATCCTTATACAGGTGTTTGGCCATCCCACTCCACCCCATATAAAATGAAGAACAGGAAAGCAGCTTTCTTCTCCATGAAGGAGGTTTGCTGGACACTGCGTTTAGGTAATCCACAAGGTGGCAGCATTGAAACAGACAGAAAGGCACCTAGGGCATCTGGCCAACTGAACTTGAAAATAAGCCTCAGGAAGCCCTATGCAGGATAAGAAAAGTCTGGTATTGTATGTTGTACAAGGTCAGGCTGAGACAGACCGTATCTCACCCTGAGCTTTCCTTTAACTTGCCCAAGAGTTTAGCAGAAAGTATGTTGCTTTCTCCTCCATTCCTGGTCTCCATTGCCCCTTCCCCTCTTTCATAATGGCAGAAGACATGTTAATGGAAATATTTATTGACTAGATATGAATGACTTAGTTTGCATTTTTAGTTTCTAAGAACTCCTGTCAAATGCTAATGTTAAATTTTGGAAGAAACTCACCAAATGTTGTCAAAGCTGAGCAGAATGGATACTCCCAATGACAACGTGACCTCCCAAAAGGAGACAGAGCCAGTAATCTGGGAAAGTAAACTAGGAAGCCATGTGATGTCTATAACGTGAGCACCGTCAGCTAGTGCAAAAGGACTGTATTTCACAGCTATCGTGCCATCGGAGGGATAGATTTCAGGTCTGGTCTATCATAACCATGAAACAGGACTTCTTAAGGCATGAGAACCCTCTCCAAAATTGACCACACTTTCGTGCAGCAAGATTGAATTAGGCAGATGAAGTCCAGCCAACAGACGATGACTGAATGGTTGGGCAACCTCGGATGTCAACGCCCACTACCCTGGAATGTATCGTTGCCTAATCTCAGACTAGAAAATGTTAATACTGGAAAATGTTAATCTCTGTGTGGTTTTGATTTTTCTCCTCAGATGTACTTTGTAAGACATGCATACCCAGGAGAGCAGAAAACCGTTACGGCACACACGTTTCTGGTTATGCCTGCCTTGTAACATGTTACACTTACCATACAGTACAGAAAGCCACGTCATCCATCGGCTACTGATATTCTGATAATATTATAAAACATTGGGTTGTCGGGAAGAGTCAAGACACATTTCAGTACACCATGACTTTTCTGACAACCCAGTACTCGAACTCGGGTATTTTTGTAATGATCAGGACATGGGGCGGCTTTGCCTGAAAGGATGTTTTAGGCATTTTTCCTGCTGTGTCAGATGGCAGTGCATAGCCTTTCCTCTCAATGTCCTTTCCAATCCTGTGAGTTAACAAGGGGGATGGCTCTAACTTTTGGTTCTTTACTCCTCCCTGACCTCCTTTCACAATCATATAACTGATGGTAATCTTGTTTATGCAAATGCAATGTCTTTAAATCCATGTGGTTTGTGGGGGAGGGTTGCAGAACACTGAAAATTCAAGCCTGGCTAGGAAAGTGACTAAACATACAAAATACCCATAAACATTTATGGAAAGGAATAAAGAAAAAGAGAAAGAGAAGGAGAGACGAAAATGAGAGGGAGAGGAAGAGTAAAAAGGCAAATGGACAAATACAATTCATCTATAGGGCTATTGACCTTTTAAGTTTTCAAACTATTACCCAGGCCCTGTAACTGCACACAATCCTCATTAAATCCAACGAGAATAATCTGGCTAAATCCCTTTCTGACTCTTAAAAATAGCAGGAAACCATATTTTGAACTTAAAACAAATTTATAGCCTCTGTGAGCAAACACCAGCTGCGTTAGCTGAACCCTTCTTGCCCGCGGTCCAATCATTAGTGCCGTCCGTGCACAAGGGTTTGATTTTAAATCTCGTATCCTCAACGTCTACTGAGTATGTTAGCTTGCTTACTCATAGACTGGAACTCCAGTCCAAATAAGTGGACGTACCAAGGCCTGTGTAATCACAGGTCATGAACGCGCTCTGAGCTGCTATGGGAACGTTTGAGGATGCTCAGGAGGTTAGAGCCCTCACCAGAGAGAGCTGGATTAAAAACGCAGCGTTCTCATCAGTTCTTGGCAGAGTATTAATAGCCTTGTATGCATCTGATTACAAGCCAGAAAGTATATGAATATGATATGCCTACCGACTTCATTATATTGATAAGAATCCTCAAAATGAAATCTTAAGGCTCTGCTTGAGTCTATCATGACTTCAGCAAAACTGAATTACGATGACAGTTTAGGTCTGATTTACTGCTGCTTGTGAAGATGCCTGAAACTTCAGCAGTCTGCCAAAGGGTGTGGCCCCAAATTTGGGTGCGGTGAATCCCCCACTGGTTGAATGCCTTGAAGTTGGCCAGCAGCAGAGCCGACCTCTGACTCGGAGCACACTCAGGTTCTCAGGAAGCCTTCAGTGCACTGGGGGAGCCAAAAGATGACCATGAACGGAACACCTCCCAAGAAGGTCAGACCGTCCACTGCCCACAAACGAAGGCTTGGAGCCCAGATTATGACTCAGACAATGGAAAAACAGGAAGCCAAGTCGATTTGTAAAGGACTCTGAGCTGACCCTGAAATTCTAACAGGATCAGACCACCCTGTCGGTAAGCTGCGTGGTTTGACCTGAACTTGCTCAGATGGGAGCAACCTTGGGTCTACTGGCTTACGACCTGCACACCTGTCCTCAGACCACACCAGACCCTATGAGAGGACAGATGGCCCTGAGTTCTGTGAAGCCATCATGTGAATGGCGTCAAGGTCACACAGAAATCAAATCTGCTAAACAATTCATTCCTGCCTGGATCATACAGACCTTCCTCATTTAGGGAGGACTATCTAAGTTTTGGGATCTGATACAGCTTTCCATTTTTGCCACATCAGTTTGTCAATGTTTATTTATTTATTTTTTGGAGACTTTTGCTATAGGGCACATGCGCCCGCTGGAGAGACAGAGGGAGACAGAAAGTGTGAAATCACTCCCCAGGGGAAATGGCCACACCACAATCCCTTCGCCTCCATTCTCCTCTCGAGATTTTGGGCACACATGCACATGCACCTGGTGTGAGTTTTAAACCGCCTGGTCCAGGACTCAAATGGCAGTGGAATGTGTGGGAGACCAACAACATAGCCATCATGCCATCTGCTGGTCCGAACTTTTATTCATATTTTTAGTGATTCCTAACTCTTTCATTGGGCAGTAAGAAA